GGGCATCAGTGTTACATCCAAGCATCACTTCCACTCAGCTTCTTCTGGATTCTCTGCACCTGCTGCCAGCTCTTTGCACCTTGCTGCACCCCCCTGGAATCCGGTGTCCTCCAGGCAGACCCCATGAAGGGGGCACCCCGCCCTGGGTCAGCCTCTCCGGGGTCAGGGGGACTCGTCATTTGGGCCCATTGAATGAATGCCGCCCACCCGCGGTGTGTGGGGACCAGGGGAGGACACATGGACACTCGTCAGTGCCAAAAGGATGTGCCAAGAGTAATCATTCTTACGCTCAGAATAAAGCGTCGTGAAAACCAAGAGATGGAGGCAATCAATCACCCTGCTGGTAGCTCTTGAAATCGAGATTTGAAACCTCACCCTTACCCTGTGGCCACAACGGGGGCTCCAGGATAAGCCTGCAAGGTGTGCAAGCGAGGGCCGGGGAGGCCCGGGATTCATTAGTGCCATGGATGCCTTTCCTCTGGATTCCCGCAAGTTGTGTTCATTAGGCTTCCTAAGGACGAGAGCTGCACAGATGTGTGCAAATCTGTTCCTCATTCTTGATTCCCTGCATCTGTGATCACCAACAAGGCACTGCTGTAAAACAGTGGAACTGAGTGGTTCACGCTCTTGTGGCGACCTCGCCCGAGGAGGCTTCCTCAAGATGCTACCCTGTCAAGTGCTAGTTTTGAAGGTCTCCCTGGGGGACTGATGCCAGGGCCTGATGGGAAAGAGCACAATCTATTTCACTAAAGTTTCACCTTGTTTGGATTACACGTTCTACCGTTCTACTGTGTAGGCCTAGTTAGTTACCCCATCATGTTTGCTAGGTCTGAGCCCATCTGATGTCGGGCTCTCTCTCTGAAAGGGACAGAAGATTTCCTCCCAGAGCATCTGCTGTAACTCAGTTCTGCTGCAAAGATCAGATGAGCCTTCTGGCACTGCCTGGCTCTGGCCTAAGGGTCAGAACTGTGACAGGTGGCCACCGATGGTCGGTCACTGTCCCCCTGTGCCTCTGTAGCCATGGGCCCACCCCCAAAGGCATTATGCGGTGGGCTGTGAAGAGCGGGGGGGGGGGGGGGGGGGGGGTTGTGGTGGTGGTGGTGGTGGTGCCATATTTGTTGCCCACTATTTCCACCCAGCCTCAAATCCACATTCTGAAGCCAAAGACGGGGACTCAGCATCCCAGGCAGAGCGCAGCTGCAGACAGGAGGCAGACGCTGTGCTGAGCCTGCTCATCTGGGCTGCAAACACATCAGATGGCCATGATCCCATGGTTCCCAACTGGGGCTGCGGCCGCCTGCCTGCTCTGATGGGCCGAGCGTGTGGTTCCCGGCCGCTCCCAGGTCACGGGTTAGGACAGACAAAGTGTTTGTTGCATTTATTGTTCTACCACTACAGAAAAAAGCATTTCAAAATGTGTACAAAAGTATCCTCTATCCCTCCAGGGGCACGCCCCTTGTTCACAGCTAAACAGAAATAATTTAACATCACCAGAGAGGCGGATAGCAAATACAACAGCATTTTTTTCTCATTTACAGTCCTGTACACGTATTTTCCAGAATGGTGGACGAAGACCCCAGGCAGCACTGGCTACACACACAACATCATAGAAAAGTGTATTAGAAAGTATTTAAAACAATATTGCATATTAATTTCTGGCTACGTCTGTTCACAGTGAATGCCACCACACCAAGACCACACCAACTGTGGATGTGCTTCCGTTTTCCCAAGACTGAACATCTTAAATAAATCTGAGTTTGGTTCATTTTTTAAGTAAAACACACAGACACACACACACACACACACACACACACACACACACACACACTGAACTGAATATGACAGCTATCGGGATTTTTAGATAGAGCTGACCCTTCATTATTGCTGAAACTTAGGAAGTGCAGGATAGAGTAATACTTTGCTTCCCAACCTATGTAAGTCCATTAGATGTCGCTTTTGTTTTGGCAAGAGCATGACGCTCATCAGGGTTACACAGTGATGAGAACAAACAAGAAAAAAAATCCCCACAAAAACAGAAAGAACCCCCCCTCCCCCCCCAAAAAAGAACAAACTCGAATGCCCGTAACAGTAGCTTTCTTTCTCAATGAAGACTCTAAGATTTCATGTGGTGGATTCTACATTGAAAATGGAACACTCTGGTCTCTGAAGTGACAGGCATATGCCCCTTGGTGACGGATGAAGAAAAGTCACAATTCTTTTTTAGTGACTCTTTGGACAGGGCAGCGTGTGCTCTAAGGCATACGGCACAGAAGGGACCTGGATAAGGAGCAGGCGTCCAGGCTTTCGGTCCACAGAAGCTCAGAGACAGAGGGGCAGTGATTTCTTACCATAACCCACACATCCACCCGCGAGAGCGGCGCTCTTGTCTCTGACGTTTATTTTCAAATGCGGGGGCACGAAGCCTAGGCACACTTCAGAACACAGCGGTTCTCAAGACACACATTCACACCATCCAGCAGCAGAACAGACCACAGAACAGAAAAGGCGTGAGGTCATGCACAATCCTACGTTGCTCGGCTAGAAGAAAAACGTGAACGGCTTTTGGTACAGAATATGAACACCCTCCTAACGTAACTTAGTTACCAGCTGACATTCTATGGGACCGTTACCTCCAACACAATAATCTCAAAGAAAAACGGTGTTAGCATAGAACACCACAAGAAAAGGTGTGTAAATAGATGGTTACATTGGCTAGAAAAGGCAGTGAGCGGAGGGGAAGCGCTTTAGAAAAGAACATTTGTAGCCGCTATTTACAGTTCTGGGTTAAGCTTTGTTTGAAGCCACAGCGAGGGGCAGGGGTGAGAAGTTTTTTTTTTGGGGGGGGGAGTTAACTCCTTTCAACCAACTGGCTCTGTGGGATGATGGAAGGGAACAGGGCGGGTCTGAGTGGCCCCAGCAAACAGGAAATTTGTGTCGCTCTCCCTTTCTTTGTGGCTGCGTATGGAACCGCCCACGCCCCCTATCTGTCTCTACAGCACTTTACCCAGGGCCTTTGCACGCCCCTGCGTCAATGCAATGTTTCTTTCCAGTTTCAAAACACTGTCCCCGTCCTGTAAGCCAAGAAACGTGTGACTCAAGGATGGGTGTGGACTTCATCCTCTCAGCAAAACCCAAACGCGCACAGGAAGGTGGGATAAATTCATTTCTAGAATTTGCGATGAACACAGAGGAACACGGGTCAGGGGATACACGGCAGAGGGGGAAAATTCTTCCAGCGTGTTTCTCTTTGGAAGGCTTCCCCAGACCTTGGACTGGCTTAGAACGAGAGCAGCGGTTCTCGACTAGGGAGGATTTGCTCCCCAGGGGATATGTGGCAACATCTGGAGAGATTTTGGGGTGTCGAACGGGGATGCTACGGGTATCTGTTGGGTAGTGACCAGGAAGGATGCTAAGAACCCACAGGAGAATCCCCCACCACAAAGAACTGCCCAGCCCCAAATGTCAAGAGCACCGTGACTAAGAAACCTCGATTTAGACTAAATGCAGAGGGGCCAATGGACAATTTTTCCTCTGTTTTCTCTTTCCCCGTGTTCACCTTGGCTCACTTTTGGCGAAGACACGTAAAGGTGTGAAACCGTGTGCTCTCATTTGCCTAGGTGACTGGAGTCATTATCCTTAACGACAGGATGAACCTTGAGGGTGACCCCTCTGGGTTGGCATCTGAATCATCAAACACCTCAGTGGGGCTCCCGTCATGCCTGAGGAAGGTTCTCCCTCTGCCACGACCTGCCTCTTTCCCGTCAGATCCCGCTGGCTGGTTATGCGATCGCTCCCGACCGTTCCGCATTCCCAGGGAGAAGGGACGCGGGGCCACACGTCATGTCCATGTGCAGGCACACAGGGACTGCTCTGTCCTCACGGGGGAGTCTCAGGCTATTTCAAAGTTTGGTTTTCCAAGGCGTGGGTCCTGTGAATGAACAACGTCTCCTGGGCCTCGCCTGTCATGTTTCCTTGCTCTGAAAATTAATGACCATCCTGAACCCTGCTTTCGTGGATTTTAAAACCTGAATGATGCAGAATGAGGGCAGGGAAAGAAACTTACCGACAAACAAAACAACGACATAGTTGAAGTGGGGTCTAGGTTGGGCCTCTGAAGGAAAGGCAGGCTTCTGCCTGTCAGGGGAACCAGCCAGGGAGGCAACGGGTGTAGAATTTGGAATCAAGCCTTGGTTTCACGGTAATTTGACACTTTGAGAGGTTCAGAGGAAGTAAGGTCCAAGTTTTGGGATGGATGTTAGAAACATAGTGATAGACTCTGGGCCATGAAAGGCACGGACTGGAGTAGGCAGAGGGCAGCGGTCTCCACACCTGCCTCCAGGAATACAGTGTTCAGACTCTTCTCGCCCGCCAGCCTTGGAAGGCTACCTCGGTTTTGAAATTGAGAACCAGACCAACAGGCTCTCTGGCCCCTCCCTTTGTCCGAGGAGTCCAACTTTCCTCCAACAATTTGCCTTTTGTGCAGGCTGTGACTTACAACATCTCTTAGAAACTGCAGGCCTCCAGCCCTAGACGCACACGGCCAGAAGCTATGACTTGGGTTTCTAGACCCTGCTGCGTTGGGAGGGGGGCGCCTGGAGGTCTGCTCCCCGGCTCATTCCTTCCTGGGCTCTGACCTGTTTGTATCAAACTTTCTCTGAAAGTGATGAGTCTTGCGGAAGGGGGCGGGCGGGGGGCTTCCAGGAAGCCACAGCTAGAGGGGACTTCAGCTCGCAGTCTATGGCAAACATCTAGGAAGAGAGCGGTTTGGGGGGGG